TATTTGTTTTGGAGTTGTGCCTATTGTTCTTTTTTATAGAAAGTAAGTTTGATTAATGGATTTTAGAGTTTAAAGGATGATTTTATTTCTTTTATGTAAGTCTGTTCACATCTAATAGTACATTTAGAATTAAAAGATAGATTTTTTATATTTCAGATAAGGTACCGGTATCATAATGTCATAAAGATCCTGATATTGCTAAGAATGGCAAAGTGTGATAAATATTGTTCTTCTGGTACTATAAATATGTATAATATAAAGCTGCTTGTGTCTTACAGCTGTTAGGTTAAATGTTGTCTGTGCCAGTTGATTATGAGAGACAAAATATAAGCCTTAGTGCTGAAATCGACAAATAGAAAGAAAATAATAGAAGAAACATTTTCTGTCACATACTCAAAGGTTTCCATTTCAAATAATTGACAATGTTATTTTAAATTCATTGGCTAAATTTGAATAGGTCAAACAAAATAATTACATATGATTTCAAATGCTGGTTGCTAATCAACCTCTGTGAAAACAAATATGTCCTAAGATTTGTGAAAATAGCATTTAATTCAAAACCAAAAGTCAGTGCTTGGCATGTATAGAGGAACAGAACATGAAGAATTAATTCTCCTAAGGCCATTCACTGCTCCTTTTCATCAGTATGTTTCATCATACCTGGTTCCTTGAATAGAATAACAGTGAATCTTGGCATTATTTGAGAAACCATTTTTTAAATAAACTAGATCAATCTGAATATCCATATCATGCCATAAATTCAAAGGTTTGAGCTTTTCTATACAACATTTAGTCTCAATAATATCTTTTTAATATTTGATTTGTTTATATAATTATTGGGGTAGTTCAAGACTAAAGTGAATATAATAACTTTTGAACAGTGGCCCGCAACCTTTGAGGCACCAAAAGCCAGTTCCATGGAGAAAGGTTTTTCTGCAGATCGGCGAGGGCTTGGTTTTGCATGCTGCCTGCATTCCACGGATAGGACTTTGCTTGTTTGCGCGGCCCAATTGCTGGCATGCCGCAGACTGATGCCAGTCCACGGACCGGGGATTGGAGACCCCTGCTCTTGAGTATTAAATAAATTCCTCCTCAACAGCCTATATTCAATTATTATCCATCTTTGCAGTTTTATATTTTTTAGTTTCTGGTTTTATTATGCTTAGAATATTATATAAAAAATCCCTGTTCATCCTATATGAGTGGTATGTGCTTCCTCAATCTTGGGTTCTTTACCAGAGGCCTGGGTGTTTGAGAGTTTTCCATAGTTTCTTAGCTATTCCTAGCATTGCACTCTTCTGGACACAGTTCTGATGTTCTTGGGATCTGTTGGAGACACTCTCAGCTTAGGAGTTACTGAAATCACTTTGGCCTTTACTTTCCACATCCTCTCTTGTTCCTACTTCAGGCCCTGGTACTTCTCCAACTTCTCATACTTCTTCCTGATGTTGCTGTCACTTGGCACTGCTATTTCTAACACCACTTGCTGTCTTCTGGTCCTTGACTACTACTAAAAGGTCTGGTTGATTGGCCATTTAATCTGCTTGGCCATTTAGATCTGGAAGTCTTAGCCCTGTTATTCTCTGCAACTTTCTGTGGAATCTCCCATCTGATACAACATATTCTTGTTGCATTATTTTGTCTGAATTGATGAAATAATTTCAGCTATCAATTGGTGCAGCATCATTGGGTTTTCGCTCCTATATTCAACTAATTGCAAATTTTTATTTATCTAAACAATTTTTAAAAATTAAGTCTACGACTGTTTGATGATTCAGATGGGAAGTAAGGCTCTTAAACAAATAGTTAATAGAGAGAGAAGATGAGTGCATGACTACCAAGTATATAGTATGTAAAGAAAATATTATCTAAAAAATATTAGATAAAAACAATGTATTTTATTCACTTTTCAGTCATGATAGCATTTGTTTCAATTCCCAAGGATCTGACTTCATAATTAATTCTAGTTCCACTTGATATGAAATAATGTGTCTCTGTGCGTGTATAAAGTTAATTCATCTTGTCCTAATAAATGTGACATGGAATTACATGTCAAATTTTCATTCTATTTAGATATTTATTAGAGAAATCTGTGTATTATTCATTCCTTTGTTAAACTGCTAGGGTATGCTTGAGGTATCTTGATTTTTAAATATTATATTGACTTCTTTGGGAGTTTTGATAGGCTAAGTCAGAAATGTGTTTGAAAATTTTGCTTCTTTTAGAAATACTCTTTTGTTTGTACTTACTGATCTGTAAATGTCCTACCTCAGATTTTTGGGAGGAGGTCTGTGGACTATAGTACAGATTACACATGTACGGGAGAAGAAATGTCATTTCTTCTGAGTTCCACCATTAGGTCAGTCAAACTAATGGGATGTAGGAAGGATCTTGGGAGAAGGGGGAAGAGAAGCTGCCTGGTTAAGAGAAGGCATAGCTGCATAATGGGAAGAAAAAGAAACTCATAAAGGAAGCTCCTTAACCTCTGAGACTATAAAAGAGATGGTGGGGAATTTGTACAGGCGCACAAAGTTTTGTTAATATAGCCTTACAACAGTGGTTCTCAACCTTTTTAATGCCGTGACCCCAACCGGTCGTAAGTCGAGGACTAAACCGGTCGTAAGTCGAGGACTAAACCGGTCATAAGTCGAGGACTAAACCGGTCGTAAGTCAAGGACTACCCAACCGGTCGTAAGTCGAGGATTTTCCCTGCCCGGGAGCGCCGCACATGCGTGGTTCCGCCCCCTGCGCCGGCCGAGGCGTAGCTGGCAAGCGGCAGAGACGGAGCAGGCCGACCACCAGCTGGCCCAGCCCAAGGGAGGTAAGGCACCCGCCGGAAAAGGGGGAAAAATGGCGGACAAAAAAAATGGCGGACAAAAAAATGGCAGACAGCCTTGCTTGGCGACCCCCATGAAATGGTCGATCGACCCCAAATGGGGTCCCGACCCACAGGTTGAGAACCACTGCCTTACAATATAGTAGAATTGGCTCATCTGGTCCTGTTCCCTGTCTGGTGTATTTGGAAGGCTGACAATCAGTCACTAATGCTAAATGAAAGATGTATAGATAGTCCACATTTAATTCAATGACTCATTCAGCAACCATTCAAAGTTATGATGGCACTTAACAAAAAGACTTCTCATAGTTGTGACCATTGTAGCATCCCCACAGTCGCATAATCATGACTCAGGTGGCAAAAGACTTGCAATTATGACAGCCTCAATATCCTGCTTTCATGTCATTAGTACCCTTCATTGCTGGTTTCCAACAGGTAAAATCAATGGAGAAGCTGGCAGGAGAAGGATTCGCCTAATGATGGCAATTGGAACTCCCATAATTGCAGTTATAAGTCAGCACAATCACCTGATGCATATACAAGCTCTTTTGTCCTAGCAACATAATTCATCTACATTTGTACGTCCAATATTTTATTCAGGCATTTCCTTAAAATGTTTCTATCCAGTATATTTGAAACAAAAACAGCTAACAGNATTTGAACTCGTCTAGGCTGGACAGGTGCTCACTTACTATTTTCTTGCCTATCTTAACTTGTGTTTCTATTCTGTTTTTTATGGCACTATTTTTGATAGGTTGGTCTGTTTTTTCCCTTTGTGTAAAGACAGATGCAAAAAATGAGTTAAATAGTTCCGCTTTCTCCCTGTTGCTTGTCACCTTCTTGCCACTTTCACCCACTAATGGACCAATCATTTCCTTCACTTTTTTCTTGTTTTTTACATGTTGAAAGAAGCTGTCACATGAATTTATAATTTGATAATGCAAGTGACATAAATTTACATGAATGATAAATTATGCAGATTACCCAAATCACTGCAGTTTATAGTCGATTGACAGTGAGATGGGTGGTATATATAATAAATAAATAAGCAAACAAACTTTCAGATTTAACAAAAATTCAGGATGAACAAACACCCGCACTGAATGATCCATTAAAGCAAAGTTTTATTGTAATATGCAACATTTGATAAGGACATAATCATAATTTGAAGTAACAGTTACAATTGATATTACTTAATTAAATTATCTTGATTAAAATTCATTCAGATTAGTATTGTTTTATTAAAAGTTGCATGAAGAGAAAAGCTTGCAATCTGGTGCTTCTTTTTAACTAATTTAATTAATTGTGGATGATTATAGTCATGATGCTTAAAGTTCTTCAACAAATAATTCCCAAAACATGTGTTCTTCACGCAAAAGATACAATAGAATGTTTTTGACTTGTTTAATTGGGTTCACCTCCTCTAGTTTTAGGACTTGGATGGAGAACAGATCATGATTTAGATCATATTTATGTAGAACTATTGAACATTCATAAGGTTTCACAAACTTTTTAGCACTGCTATATATTAGGATTATTTCTTAAGCTGCAATTGATCCTACACTTCCAAGCAGAATCCCTTGAAATCAAAGGAACTCCCAGTATATTTAAGAAAGTTGCCCATCACAGAATGGCTTCAAATTACTGTACTGTTATCTACTTATACCAAGATATATGGTTTATACTGGCTATGTTAAAGCAATGCTGCCCATATTTGTTCATAGCTAGCCCTTGCAATTTTAAATGTGGCTGTTCAGGAGTCTTTTAGCATTCTTTTGTTGCCTCTCCATCCTATGGAATGCAGCTGCCCATGAACTTGTACCATTTTGATCATTCATGTGCAACAGCCGCATTGTCTATAACATTCTAAAAATAAGACATTATGGTGTTATTTGCAAAGTAATTTCACATAAATATTTGGACTCTAGCTCTTTTTCAATGCTGAACTGTTTACTGTGTGAAAATAGCATAATTATAATTTGCAGACTTTTTGCCTGAAGCTGAAGGGGCAGATGCATATGATTAAGTTTCAACTGGCCTGTTATTGTAATGTAGATGTTGGGAGGTTTTCAGGATTTTTTTAAAGTGAAACATGAGTTTTAAGAAGAGGGAAGAAGGTTCTGAGAAACACTCCATTTTAGCCAGCTTTATTTTTGTTTTTCAGTGGCACTTCTCCATTAGCTTGTCTGAATGCAATGCTTCATACCAACACTCGTGTTGGTGATGGGACATTCTTCAAAATTCCTGGCAAGGCAGGACTCTACGCACTCAAGGTGAGTTACATATTTTTAGAAATAAAATTACCCAGCGCTATGAAGTCTATGCATTGAATTAACAAATCATATAAATAAATTAGATTGAAGTCATTAGGTTGGGAACAGAGGTAAATTGTGTTTGAAACATTTTAAGATAGCACTTAATATGATTTCCAATCGAGATAAACTTTATAAGTTAAACAAAATTCAGGAATAGGCATGGCTTTAGTTTCTTTTTCTAGCTGAGATTTTAGATGTTGCCTTTTAGAAATAAGCAAAGATTTACTTGTTTATTTAGAAATAAGCAAATATATTCACATTGTATTTGAGAAAGAGACATTTGGAAAGATTTATATCATGAATGACAATTCTAGAGTTAACAAGGAACTGAAAATGTAAAGCTGTGATACAAGTAATGATTTTATCTGAACGAGCAGAACTATTTATTTAATCCTTAATCTAATAGTGATATCTGAATGAAGGAGGAGACATTATTCTGAAACTGATAGAATGTGGCATTTTCTTGAAGTAATCAAATAGAATAGGCAGCACTTTTTTCTGAGAAATAGAAACATGGGCCATTTTCTATTAACTGCCAGAATTCAAAAGCAGCTTTTGCATTTGATTAGATTTTCTTTTGTGTGGTATAGTTAGGCTTTACAGGGAAACACACACACACACACACACACACACACACACACAAAGCCTACTTTTAAAATGTAGGTGCTCCATAAATTTTGAACTGTGGAATTTGTTATGTAATTATAGAATTATGTTCCACCTAATAAAAACAGAACATAAAAAAGTATTTCATTTTATTCTGCATCATTTTTGGAATGGTTGTATTTTTTTAAGGAATAAGTTGGTTTCTATGAATACTGATGTGAAATAAGCTGCATTTTTCTATTTAAGTTTCTAGAAGGCTTTACAGTAGTGTGTCCCGAGAGAGACTTTTTCCTTATTCATGAAATTGTCAGGAATCACATTTTATTTATGGAACGTTCCTAAGAAGCACATTCTTTTTTGAAATGTGACAAGCAGCATGATGACATATGTCTTTACACACAGAAGGAAGACACTACATGCCCAGCAGATGGAACATTGGATTTAAGTTGTGAATCTGAGTTGGACAGCACTGAAATGGCTGAGACTAACAATAGCAATGGGGAAGAAAATGGAGGTAAAATATTATTTTTATTGTTTTATCCTTTGATCTTAATGGAGTGTTTATGTGTTGAAGAAGTTACATATTTTTTATTTTAGATCATTTGTCATGCTTTGCAAATACATGTAAGTATTTTCTGGCACCAATAAGGCCTATTTTTAAAAAATATAAAAGATTCAGTTCTCATTCCAGATCTCATTAATAGATTTGGAAATCTTAATATCTAAAAATTGAATTGTTAAGTTAAGTTTCATGCACCAGATGCATTGTTTGTTTGGTGTTCTTTATATCAGATGGCTCATGGGAAAGAGTTTTGGATTTTACAGTTTCTAGGGTTGTAAAAAGAACGGGCATTTGCAGAAAATATTTTTTAAATATTAAAGATAGGTACTTTAAAATAGCATGCAGAATTGCATTCTATTTATATTCTTCTAAAAATGAAGTTTGGTAGACTTCTTTTCATTGTTTTCAATATTTTACAACATTGTTAATTAGCAGATTGCTTTTCCATCTATATTAGCCTAAGCTGAAATTGATGCTATATATGTTTGTAAAATATTCAATATGTTATTATAGTTTAGTGAAGCAATAGTTTAAACAGTTTGTTTTTCTTCTGAGAATGTTGGTTTTCTGTTAAGTAGAAAATGGTAAATGGTGCTTGCTTTATTTACTGTTTATCATATTTAACATGGAAATTTTAGGGACAAAATAATGCAGACTAGAAATGGAAACTTTGAACTTTAAAAGGAGCAACAATTCCTAGTAAATTGGATGCCTAAGTATATTTGCATGTGAAAACAGATTTTTGATGCTATTAACTTCTTAATCTTTCAATATGCTGTATTATTTTCAAAGACCAAGTTATATGTACAGAGTTAAAGAATTTTAAATACTTACCAATTACAACAAAAATATTTTCAATTATTGAAGGCCTTTTTATATATGTAGCCCATACTGTTGTTAAAAGTGAGGATAATGTCTTTTTCCTTGCAATAAATCTGCACATCATATTTGTGCTTAACTGTGCCTTAAATATCTAGGAAGTCTTTCTTTTCTGCTGAGAACAATACAATAAGGCAATGATTTTTCAAATGTTCTATCTTTAGGGAATTCTTTTCATTCTCCTACATGTTTTTTAAAAAAGTCTAGAAAGTGTGAAGGCAACCCTTCCATTTTAATGGAGCCTTTTTTAAAGGCCTTTTGGGCCTTATGGCGGTGAATATTCCACTAGCTGCTAGAGTATTGTAGAACAAGATTCATAGTGAGATGTTTAAAGGAAATAGTGTCAAAGTTATTCATTTCTTCGCTGTAAAGGATTCTAAGGGCCTTAAGTTGTTTTTGTAGTAGCTGAAAAATTGATGAACCTACAGAATTATGTCCCTCTCTCCTGCATTCTGACAGCACAAATACAAGGTACTTTCTATTCAGGATTGAGATATGGCTAGTATTAAAGTGTCTTTTATCGTCATTGGATTTTTAAACTAAGCTAGTGTTTATGGAAGAGTGTTATTTAGGCTTTGTGTCATTTTTAGAAAATGTCCTATTTTCTTTAGGAGAGATTGGGTGGGTTCGCTGGGTTCTGGGGGTGAGGTGGGTAGCCTGTCATTTACAGACACTTCATTGCTGACCTCTTGGTATAATTTAATGACATGGCTTTCTTCCTTCAATTTCTGATGCTACAGTTTGGATTCAAATGGAAATAAAAACTTTGCACATCTGGCACATTTTCACAAAGAAGGCCTTTTCCTTGTCCTTCACAAGCACATTTTCTGTCCTGTTGTACCATATTCATTGTCCATTTTTCAGGGTGAAATTATGGTAATTCTTCAGGTGGTTCTTGGTAAAATGTAACTTTAGCCCAAGTCTTGCTTTCCCTGTTAAGACACTTCACTGATTTTGATTATTGCACATAATTAGTCCATTTACTGTTTCTAATGATAATTCTCCCAATGGTATTTTTTGTTCAAAAAGGGTAATCTACAGGTTCCGTGTGTGTATTCAGGAAGAAAGCCATTGGGGTGTTTAATTTGGATTTTTCAACAGGGCATGACTGGGTTCAATGGCTTGATGCCTGTTTCCGACTCTGACTCTATAAAATTGTCCTATCTGATTCACATCTTACGTCAGTGATTTTCAGTAGGGAAAATTAGGGTTACCTCCTCTATTTTGTTATCATTGCTGGCAATTTAGCTATTGGGAAGGAATTTTATCTGGATGTAATTGGAGAGTGGGGTTTTTTGTCTTTTTTGTCAGTCACCTAAATTATATATTGAACAGAAGTTCTGGGCACTTCAGTTACATTTTAGTCATAATGCTGCAGATCCATTTTGTGGATTGTTGGACTTGGGACATCTTACACATTATAAGAGGCATTTCCCAAAAGAGTAATTTACAGCATTCAGCATTTGTGCTCAGCTCTGGAGAAATCTGTACTCCTGGACAGATCCAGTTGGTAGTTTTCTGTGTGAGTTGCTCAGTGGTTCAGTTTGGGCAGGCTGATACTCAATTAACTTTTTGAACAATTCTACCAAAAGAAACTTTGATCAGCAGGCAATTTGACTAATAGAAGAATCCATCATGAGAAACTGGGTTTTAACTCACCCCCAAAATGGTGTCCCTCTTTATTCCAATTCAAGTTGCCTGTTATTATTCTCTTGTCTCTCCCCCCCCCCCCNTTTCCCCCCCCCCCCCCCCCCCCCGCTGCTATTGGAACAGGACTATGATTACAGGAGCAAAACATAGCCATTAAATTTTTTTCCTCTTAAAATATAAGAATAAAGTAAGAATGTTGAGTTTTAGATATGAGAAACATGGACTTACATATCTGTTCAGCCATGCCAGCCCATTGGCTAGTCATTTTCTCTTGACCTTTCCTATTTGAAAATAAAAGGAAATAACCCTAATATAATTATGATGAGTTGTTAAAATCAGCTTGTAACTCTTCTAAAAGTATTTTTCCAGTACTTTTGTGCTAACTTGTAGAAAATGTCTACAAAGAAAAACTTAACTGCAATGTAGCAAATGGATGTCAAAGTGTCCAAAATTGTATGTTTAGTTCTGTGTGCCTATGTAAAACTTATAGTACTGTAAAAAGTACTTTGTACTTTTGTGTTAGTGGGAGAAAAGATTAAAAAAAAAGAAATAATTTGTCATCAGAAACTTGCCCAGATATTGAACTGCCATTGTAGTACTCTTTATATTCCTGAAAGAGATTCAGATTATTGCAGAAGATATCTCAGAATTCCATCATCAACTACCATTGCTAAATGCCAATATTATTTATCAGAAAGGAAAGGTCTATTTCCTATGTGCCCTACTGCTTCCATTAAAAACTATTCAAATTCAGAATACATACATACATACATACATACATACATACATACATACATACATACATACAGTAGTGGCCAAAATTGTGGAAACCTTTTGGAAAAAGTGTACATTTGAGGTTTGATGGCTAATAACACCACTTTTTTTGGAGTTGTACCATAAAATTATATATCAATGGAAAGATAATTTAATAAGAATGTAATGCAACAAAGTTTGTTCAATTATCTGTGTTCTATGAAAAGTTATAACCAAATAACCAGAAAAAGGAAGCACAACTTGCTTAGGTTGATATCAGGTAGCTTTCCTTCATCTGATTGTAGCCAATGAGTATGAGTGTTTAGAGAGCCAATCAGGTATCATCTTGTTTTGGCAATGAGCCAATCAGATCACAGTAGGATTCAGTTGTTGATGTCATGTATTGAAGCTGAGAAGAGGACATTTGTCAGTGTGTTATGTGATCGCTATCAAGTTGGTTGGGTTTTTTTGTGTTCTTTCATTTAGTAAGCTTGTAAAACGTAGTAAAGTTAAAGTAATGGTACAAAGAGTTGACTGGTCATCCAGAAAGCGATGTAAAATAGTATTATTAAGTGAACAAGGCTACAGTTATAAAGAAATTAGAAGAAAAATTGGTGGAAACTTAACCAAAGGTGGCATTTCTAAGTTTTTGAAGAGGTATAAAGAGACTCAGTCACTACCAAACCACACTGGTAAAAGCAGGAAAAGGTGCACAACAGCAAGTGATGATAGAAGAATTAAGAGACTGTGCCTACGTGACAGAAGAAAATCATCTGGATGTATACAAGATGAAATGGCGCAATGCAATGTGAAGTTGAGTGCAAGAACTGTTTGGCGCAGTCTGCAGGAATTTGGCCTAAAATCTAGAATTCCACGAGAAAAGCCACTTTTATCTCTTAAACAAAGGTTGAAAAGACTAAACTGGGCTAAAACCCATGTTAACTGGACAGAGGAACAATGGGACAGTGTTATTTGGAGTGATGAGACCAAGATCTCCCTTTTTGGTAGTGATGGCATAAAATACGTAAGGAGAAGAATCGGAGAAGATGTGCATCCTGATTGCATTACGTGTACCGTGAAACACCCAGTCAGTGTTATGATCTGGGATTATATGACAGAATTTGTGTGATTAATGGGAATATAAATGGCCAAAAATATATTAATGAAATACTTGAGCCCAAACTGAAGCCTTCCGCACATGATCTTTTCCAAGACAATGAAGCATTTATATTTCAACAGGATTCAGCTCCATGTCATGTTGCTGCTGTATGCAAAAAGTGGTTTCAAGATAATCATATTCCACTGCTAGAATGGCCTAGGAATAGCCCAGACCTTAACACAATTGAAAATCCATGGAGCCAACTAAAGAAACTTGTTAGTCAGAAGCGACCCAGCAATAAAACCCAGTTAATAGAAGCAATCATTCAATCTTGGTTTCACATTATAACAGCTTCAGAACTAAAGGACTTGGTTCACTCCATGGGAAGATGTTGTAAGGCCGTAATTCATGCTGAAGGTTACCCAACTAAGTATTAACTGA